CTCATATCTGACACACAGAAACAGTTGTACTGGCCCGAGAGTGCTTCTGCAGCAGAGATGGATATATCCTCTTGGCTGCAGACTTTCAACAAACAGAGTTACGAATGTTAGCTCACATGTCCCAGGATTCTGTCTTACAAGCTGGATTTAAACAGTCAAAAAAATGTACTGTAGACATATTTAAACAACTATCTGCTATGTGGTGAGTTATTTCAGAAGTAAAACAAACTTTGATGTCTTCCTATGTCTGTGATGGCTTTCCAACTCAGCTTGAAGGATGGTCAAATAAATATAGATAAATATAGAGTAATAATATTTTGGCTTTCATACTAGGAGAGATTTGACAACTTATTTTTGCATAAAGTTTGTTTTTAGTTATTTGTACACTGGGCCAGAAGTTTATATAACTTTCATTGGCATACTTTACTGGATTTGATTATTATACTACCAGCTCCGGCCATTCCAAGCGGTTGGATATAAATGTACCGGGTATGTATTTATCTGTTTAATCATACATTTGTAGAATCACTTATCCATCAGTTTTTAAATTAACAAATAGTACAAAGTCACTGATGAAGTTGATCTTTCTTCTGTGGTAAACTTTTTATGTTTTAATTCAGTTTTAATTTATCTGTACCCCAGCTAGGTACCATTAATAAACTTTCTAGTATTCAGAAACTTGTGATTGCGGCTGTGCTGGATTCTCAAACAGTCCCGGTTTGTGGAGACTGTTATTTAAGTGACCAATTTTGAAACTCTGTTGATGTCATAAAGTCTTTCTTTTATAAAATTACCAATAACACGAATTTAATTGGTTCTAGAACCTCATTCGTTATAGGGGTAATCCGTTCTGGGCCCCCAAATACAACCACTTAACAATGAAAAATACAATATAAAATTGTAAAAATTGTAAAAAAGTGCATAAATGTGCATTTAAACTCCTAAAATAAAGAATATCATTAATACTTGTAATAAAAAATAATAAATTAGTACAAAAAATGATAAAAAATACTGTTCGTTGTAGGAGTTTCGTTCGTTATAGCATTCTCAATTTTATAGGTAAAACCGTTCGTTATAGGAATATTCGTAGTAGAATCCGTTCGTTATAGGAATATTCGTAGTAGAATCCGTTCGTTATAGCATGCCCCACTAAATGAAGATTATGCTGGAGATAGACTGTGGATCCATTACCACCAGTAAACACTGAAACACAACAGGCTGGATGCAGTCAATTTTCATTACTGGTTCTTAAAAAGGAATATGTACTGCAGGTCCTTGAAAATTTTGTTTTCTTAAAATTCCAATTTGTTAAGGTTAACTGTACAGGTGTTTATAAATTCTATGAAAAATGGTGATTCTTCCTTTATTAAATGTTGGTAATTGTTGTTAGTTCATGTTTTTGTTTGAAATTATAACAGCCAAATCTCTCTTATTTAATCAATAATGAGATACTATTGGATAATATATGTATCACTGCTGTCATCAGATTGGTTTATAATGATTTAAATATATCACAATGTCTAGGCTGGACAAAGATGTGAGCGAGGTAACTACAAGTGAGCGTGAACGAACAAAACGTGTTGTGTATTCTGTGGTTTATGGAGCCGGCCGAGAAAAGTTAGGAGAGGTGCTCGACATAAGTCCCCTGGACGCTAAAGATATAATAACATCCTTCATGAGTAAGTAGAGTAAAGCAGTTTGAGCTTGTATGTAAATATTGTATTTGTGTATTAACAATTACAGTATCAACATCATTATGCATGGCTTTTTGTATTTAGAGAATTTCAAGTAGGCACAATTTTGCTGAGAACTGTACAGAACATGGTGGTTTTGTTATCCCTCAAGCTCAGCAATCATCACTTGCTTGTCTGAAAGATAAGAGTATTTGTAAAGAGTTATATGGTAGCTGTCTTAGTGAGTGTGCACAAGCAAACCCATAGACAAAAGGGAGCAGGAAAAGACAAAAAGGTAGATACTATACTGTACTGTTATATAGTATGGAGTACTGTACTAAAATATAAAACTAAAAAGCAGTAATTATTGCAATGGTAGAGTATTGTACTTTGCAATTTAAGAAAATATGTGTGACCACCAGATGTTGCTGAGTAGTCATCTATAAGCAACTAAGGTTCACCACTCCACTACCTTAGCTTGTATACTTAGTAGTAAAATATTGTGTCTGCATCTGTGTTGAGAAGAAATATAAGTTGAAGATGTTATTGGTAAATAATCTGTTTTATGGGGATTCTTAGAAGTTTCTGATATTTTTGGGAGGAGACATAATGAGATTGATAGGTTATAGGTTAAATGAAATGACATTTAACAAACTGTATGATTTTCAGAACGGTTTCCTGGTATCCCTGCCTACATGAGGTCTGTAGTTAATCTTTGTAAGTCCCAAGGTTTTCTGACGACAATATTCAACCGTCGACGTTTCTTTCCTGGCATTAAGTCGCAAGACTCAGTCATTCAGGCTCAGGCGGAGAGACAAGCTATCAACTTTGTTATTCAAGGTTTGTCAGTAACAGTATGTCTCATGAGAAGTTTTGTGTTTAAAAGTGAATGACAGCATGTGAAGGGAGTTATTATATACAGTATAGAATATGGCTTTAATACCAGTGTGCTACAGTGAAAAAAATATCCAACTACATTATTGGCAAGATTCATTTGTTATATGATTACACATCCTAACTTTTACAAGCAAAATCTTAGATGTGTCGCTGTTTAAATTTTGCTGGGATTTGTGTTATATTTCCTATCTGTAATTATGACCAAATACAGCCTCTTTCATGTTTAACTGTAAAATCTAAGGCATCCTTTCTCATGACCATATTTGAAGCTGATCAAGACCATTCGGTAAATCTTGACAATCAGTTAGATTTATAAGTTCTCATTAATAAACTTTGCATCATTTTCTGGGTGACCAGGTTCAGCGGCAGACATCAGTAAAGCAGCCATGGTACAGACAGAAGTTGCTCTTGCCTCTCGCCCTGACCTTGATGCCAAGCTGCTGATACACATACATGATGAGATGGTGTGGGAAGTGTGTAGCAAAGACCTTGACACTGTTATTGGTAAGATGATACAGAACCTTACATTACTATATTTATTTTATTGTGTAAACTTTCATTTCTCTTTTTTTAAGCAACACACTCACCTGCCTTTTAATTGCATTTACATTAGATTTTCTTTTCTTTGGCATATATTTTCATAACTGTTGATTTTCTTTTCTTTATAAAATTTCTTAACTTTTCACGTCCTGTATACTATACTGTACTCCATAAAGTAAAGTATATTGCTCTCAAAAATATTATCTTATACCTTTAATGAAATCCTTTTTTTTTCTCTCTCTCTCTTTTCAAAGCATTTCTTCTTTTCATTACAGTACATAAAAGTTGGTTATTGTATCTAAACATTTTCACTGTGTGGACCATACAGAGAAGTTTTTGTACTGCAAAATGTCATAAGATTATAATAAAACTTTGTAGCTATTTACTATACTGTATGCTGTTGATTTTAACATTTCAGACATAGTTGAGCCTATAATGGAAAACACTCAGCAGCTGTGTGGGCCATTCGTTCACCTGACTGTTCCACTGCCTGTTGCTATATGCACTGGAACTAACTGGGCACACATGCATCCCTGGACAAAGGAATAAGCCATTTCTTATTTTGAATGTGTTTAGTTAATTCTTGTGATTAGAATCAATGATTTTTGTAAGGATTTATTTGCGGAGTTTTTTTAATATTGTCAATGAGAATTATTCCCCTTAAAATTTTTACATAGTGTTGTAAGGGCGTGTGTTTTCCAACACCTACACCACCCTTATCTAACTTACTTCTCTTGTTCATAGTTCTTACTCTGTTCTGTCACATATTCTTTTGGTAGCATGGACAGTGTGGTAGTGTATGTGTCGTAAATTGTAAACTTGACATCATCTCCCCTTCCTCGCCCCTTATAATACAGTATTGAGAAGTGAATGAACGTCTCCTGTTGTATTGATCTGGGTATAGTCTGTGAGTATTGAACACTGTGGATCATGAAAATTTAACCAGGTACTTTACTGTATTGACTTAATAAAAAAATTTCAAAGTAACTGATGGGAGAACTTATGGGAAAATTGTGACTTTAGTGTTGTCGTTTCATTACATTCTCAGACTACAGTATCTCCTATTAATCCCTCGTATATTGTATCACCTCTGAGCTGAATAAAATCATCTGGCATTGGCAACTAAAATATTATGGCATCTCTGTAGTGAAGGGGTTAAAAAACAGTAATGAAGCAGTTATGTTTGAAAAAGGAGATGAATCAACTCATTTTTATATTGTAAATTGTTCCCTTCCCTTTCACTCATTCCTCTATAAGCATCTATTACTGTATACTGTCATTGTATGAAATAACTTAGAAAAGACACAAACTGCTGAACTTATATGTAGAGTTTTAATTGTTTCCATAATATTATGACCTACAAGGATGGACAAATGTAATGAGATCACTTGGTTGGAAGACTGGCAAATTAAAAGAAAATTAAAGGTTTCAGGGGGAGAGTAGGGAAGTTGGAAAGTGGATATCAAGAGGAGGAGTGAGTGGATATCAGGAGGAGGAGTGAGTGGATATCAGGAGGAGGAGTGAGTGGATATCAGGAAGGGAGAGAGTGGATATCAGGAGGAGGAAAGGGTGGATAGCAGGAGGAGGAAAGGGTGGATAGCAGGAGGAGGAAAGGGTGGATAGCAGGAGGAGGAAAGGGTGGATAGCAGGAGGAGGAAAGGGTGGATAGCAGGAGGAGGAAAGGGTGGATAGCAGGAGGAGGAAAGGGTGGATAGCAGGAGGAGGAAAGGGTGGATAGCAGGAGGAGGAAAGGGTGGATAGCAGGAGGACAGAATGATTACATCAGGAGTTTACCTGAGTAAAGTTTAATTTGAATTCACTGCTTGAAGGGGAAAGAAGCCAGTAGCCACTTTTAATCCCCCCCTATTGTCCTCCGTTGTCCAGCGTTAGTACAGGAGAACTTGTTAGTACCACGAGAAAACCTGCAATGTTTGGGAGTCACACTGGATAACACCCTTCTCTCATCCTACCTCAGACACAATGGTCAGAGGCAGGGAGGGAGAGAGAGTAGGAGGTTAGGGGAGGATGGATGATGCTATAGGTTAAATAAACTGGGGTGTCTGATCTTCTGAGGACAGCTGTTGTTGTCAGATCCATTCAGCTGCGTAATGAACTGTTGTTTAGTCTTGCTCACTGGCGAGAGGCTGGTTGCTTAATTTTACAGTACAGTATAAGCAACTGCTGTTTGTCATCTCACTGGGAAGAGGCTGGTTGGTCTGTTGTTGTTTGAATGTTGCAATGATCAGTGAGTGAACCTAGTTTTTGTTGTGGATAAAGGTTCAAATTGTTGCACTATTCACATCTGATTTTAATAGATATTGATTTTGTAGACTGAGTATTGTAGTGGCTTACTTTCACTACAACCTCTCCGCCGTCCTCGCTGATTGGCCACCTGCCGCCCTCGCCCAGCCAGTCAGCGGCGCCTTTCATTTCACACCTCGATTCCTGAGTAGCGAGGATTGTATCAATACCTCCTTGCCTCACCGACTACACCAAGCTCTCAAGCTGACAAGACCTCCTCTCAAGAAGCTCCTCCACATTACAGCAACTCCCAGCATCCTACTGCATTGAACATACAATATACTTGGAGTTAACTCTATACTGAATTTCCTTCCTCATCTCCATCCTGAGTGCGAGATCTCCTTTATGTATGTGTGTATGTGGTCCTAGAGAAAGTTGACTACCTGCACCACATATACACACTACAGTATCATCACTCCTTTCCTTCTAACAATTGCTTCTCTTAAAATAAACACTGTAACTCACATACCTAAGCTCGTCTACCACGCTACCTAACACTTAGCCCAAGCAGCTAACGAGCGGATCAGTGGAGAAGAGGATAAAGGTAAAAAAGATACCAGTTTTTCTAATAAAAGCCTGGGTGGTGGCAGTCTACCGTGTAAGTACAGCAATTATACCAAGAGATGGTGGTAAAGAATGGTATGGTTTTCCCAGGTTAATCCATTGAACAGAATATTACTGACTACAGCTGAGAATAGAAGTAAGAGGAAATGCACAAACAATAAGTACTGATAAATATTGAAATAATTAAGAGGAAAATATAATAAACAAATAATGACATTGAAAGAAATAAACTAAGTAAGAAAAGTAAAATATGGAAAATAAAGTAATAAACATACTGAAATAAAGACCAAAAATATAGGAAAAACATAATATAACTAAGAAAATTTAAGATTATATTAAAAGAATAACTTGGGAAAACATAACCAAGGAAATTAAAGAAAATTACATGAGTTATAAAACAAAAGGAAAATAGGAACAATAAATATATAACAGAAAAAATTCACATACATTAATCAGTAGTGGAATATAAAATTATATATATATATATATATATACAGTATTTTTATTTATTTATTTTTACAAAATTTGCTCATTTGCCCAAAAATGAAGGTCAGATTTCAGTAAAAATACACCTGAATACACCAAGGAAAAATTTTATGGTTACATAAATATGGATAATATCATTATCCTCAAGAATCGGCGAGAAAATATTTTTATTACTGTTCTCGGTTGATTTAGTGAAGTGGAAACATCTTGCTGCCCATCCTGAGGGAGGCCCTATATAAGATTATTAAGGCATTATTGGCAAACAACACACACTGACAAAATTTACACAATTAATAATATTTTGGAGTAATTTTATAATTTTTATGGCGTTTATAAAATAAATTTAATGCCAAAACTATTACCTGAGAGGGAGCGTGGCTGGTGCTCTCCCGTGTAAACACAGCAGCCATGTGTTGTGAGGTATGTATAGCTTTAATATTGTGTTGTTAGTATTAATATGGAGATGTGTGCAGGGATTATGGTGTTGTAAGAGAGGTAGAGCTTTATAATTCTTGTGAGAACATTTTGGACAAGGTAAGAGAACTGCTCTCAGGACATAACATGTAGGCAGGGATTATATGACTATTTTACCGTCAATTATTCATAATATTAAGGTAAAATTGCAGATTACAGCAACCAAAGTTCAATTTATAGACTTACACAGATCATTCTTGCTGTTTTTAATATGTATTTTGTAATGTTTAGACAATTCTAAGACATTTTTCGTCTATGAGTATTACGGCACATCATCACTCACACTGATTGACCTTCATATCAGTGGGAAATGAGTGGTTTTGAAGCTATCACCCGCCCCTCTCCCCATAGAACCTGACATAACTATCCAAAGAATCCTAATCATAACCTTACCTAACTTCCTAGCCGTCCCATATTAAACAGAAAGTACTTAAGGTGGGGGTATTTTGGTATCTGGTACCAATGAAAGCACAAAATTGCTCTAACTGAGTTGTGGCTGAAACTGTAATAATACCTAAGATATTGATAATGGATGGTACAGCAGCTGTCTGGGTCTAACCTAGCCTAACCTCCCCTAGTTCTTCATAGTAAATATAATATTTTGTTTGTTACAGGAGATGTTACAACAAAATGTTCGGAAATTGAACTGCTCCATAACAGCTGAAAATGATAACTGGAGCATGGAACAAAAGCTCCCACCAGCACTATCACCACTGCCACCACCACCTATGGCAAGGTAAACTAAAGGAACAGCTCTCATAGCCTATACAGGAAATCTTTGTGCCCGTCAAACTCTTAAGACAAGTTGTTGTAACTGTGCTGCTGTTAGTCATTTGTCTGTCTGTCTTCCTCTTTATATCTTTCTATCTATTTAACAGTCAGTGGTTCCCAGCCTGTTGACCATAGGGGTAATTTAAACCATGCTAGTTCATAATAAAAGTAAACAAGGCTTGACCTAACTAGCAGAGTGCCAGGGGTCTGCAACCCTCATATTTGCGGCCGGCATTATAGTATGTGATGAGCGGCCGGCCAAGTTGATAAGGTAAGATAAGAATGTTGGAACACTTGATGCAGGAAACACCTAACCTGATATTCTTTATTAAACTGGTAAATTATACCTGACAATGCTAGTACATAAATTACTTATAACAATTACTGTTGAAAATCTGCTTCAAATCCTTTTCTTATTTAGCAGACAAGGGCAGCCATTGTCAGCCATATATTGATGAGGTTAAAGATAATATTCAGACAATTTGATCAAGGACAGCTGACAAAGACATGAGATACTTATTTCCAGTAGAGTCTTTATGCCAGCAGCATGTGGTGTTCTTAGGGCCAGGCAGTCACCCATCTAGGTACTAACGTTGCTTAACTTGGCTATTCGAACAAGTAGCAGTGTTTTCAGTGTGGTAGTACTGTATTGTGCTCTTGGTGATGTACAGCTGCAGGGGCAGATCCAGGGGGGTCCTGGGGGTTCTGGACCCCCATTTCACTAGAAAATTCCAGTACTTTTTCTTTAATCCAGTGTTGTACTCGGGCATTTTGTATAGCAAAAATTATTTACTGTTGACTTCAGAATATCCCCTAATATCAAGTGCACATGGCTTCAAAATGCTCATGATATTGGGGGGCTTACTACTCTGTGTGATGGCTGATTTCTTGTTTACAAAGTGGCTGATTAGTGTATAAAGGTTGCACCCTGGTTTAAACCATCTGAGCTAATGATGCTTGACAGAGTTTTGGGTGGCAATGGGCCGTTACCTTATTATCAGCAAACTGGTTATCGTGGTGCTTCTGCCATTCTCGTCTACCTTTCTCTGTGAAGCGGGTATTTTCTTGCTGTTGAGCATCAAATAGAAACAGCGCTATCAATTCCACTGGAAGATGGCCTCCACTGTGCCCTGACTGTGACTAAACCACTGATGCCACAATTGATGACAAAAAGCAATGTCATCCAACCCACTGAGTTTTAATTAACTTTTTTAATATTCTTTTTGCATGCGTGTAAATTATACACACAGGCACAGTGTCCATAGTTTTGATTGCCCAAGTTGTTTTGGAGTTGATTTTATTTATGTGTGATTATAATACACAGCATTTACTGGAGACACAACAGAGGTTTAAATTGTTCACAAACACTATCCATGACTTGGAATCTTTTATTGTGTGGCAGTTTTATTTTATATAGCTACTGGTACTGTATGTACAACTAATAATATTAAAGTATCATTTCCAACTGCTCTTTCCAGTGACATTTAGTTTGTTTCATCGAAGAAAGATTTAGACTGGGGCAACAGAAGTTATCATGTTTTGTCTGGGGGTCACAGAACGGAAGAGGTTGGGAACCACTGATCTAACTGCTTATTTATGTTTGTGTGTCTGCCTTTCTGTGCCTTTCAGTATACCTATCTATCAATTTATCTACCCATTATCCACCAATATCTATCTATCAATACCTATCTCTGTCAGTTTTATATATATATATATATATATATATATATATATATATATATATATATATATATATATATATATATGTGTGTGTATGTGTCACTCTATTTATCAATATAAGTATTTGCCAGTCTGTCAATGTATATACTAAATGTCTTACCAATATCTGTCAGTATCTATTTATTAAAAAAAAATGTATATCAAGGTGATTAAAAACTTATGGGCACAGTGTAACTGACTTTCTAAATGTTCTGAATATCTAATTATTACAAATTTCATTAATTAAAACTACTGTAATTACTTGAATTTTTAAACTGTGAACCCAGATCCTTAATCAGAATTTAAAGTTGTACCGTTGTGCAGTTTTATACTATTATATTTTCTTTATTTATAAGCCTTATCATATATATAGAGTTTAATAAGAGTTAAAGAATTTCAAAATTCCAAGACACAAATTTGTGAGGTCAGCCTGTAGCACTGTGTATTGAAGGATTTATTGGGGATCCTGAGAGCGAGTTTGAACTCACGGGAAAACCTGTTAATCTCGCACCTCTCAATCCCCGTAGATGCCGGATAATTGGGATTCTGTCTGTCTGTCTGTCTGTCTGTCTAAAGTACTGTTCTGTCTATACTACTGTATTAATGTACCACTAAGTTAGCTGGGAATATTAAGGCAAAAATGACAAGCATGCAAGGTTTACGGTCCCAAGAAAATTGACATAAATCAAACTTGCATAAAACAAACAAATTCTGTACTGAATGACTATTAATTTATGGACATATATTTATCATAAACTGTTGTGTATATTAATTGTTTTTGTTTGTTACAGATGAGTTAACGACCTTTGGGAAATTGAACAGCACCATCACAACTGAAAATGATCACTGCAGGCTGAGACAAAAAGCTGCCATTGTAGAACTTATTTCCAATGAACACTATAACACCACCACCACTACCACAGCACCACCACCACATATGGCAAGGTAAACTACAGGAGTCATTTGTCTGTCTGTCTGTCTGTCTGTCTTTATGTGCCTTTCAGTATATCTATCAATACCTATCTCAGTCTGTTTTATTTATTGTATCTATTTATCAATACAAGTATTGGTAAATTTACATTTTCAACCAATATGGCTCTTGAATTGAGCAATGTGTTTTTCTGATGTTTTAGACCAGGCATGGGCAACCTGTCCTCAGTCATGGGCAACCTGTCCTCAGTCATGGGCAATCTTTCCTCAGTCATGGGCTGCATTATGATTTAGGTAATTTTCTGCGGGCCAACCCACCAAAATTTAAATCCTACCTAACCCAAAAGTAATGTTAATATTGTATTAGTACGGACAGTGAAGCGGTTTATCGTCACTTCCACCTTACGATATTTTCAGTTTACAATAACAATCTTTCCCATTTATGAAACAATCCACCATAATAATTTTTAAAGTAATATCTTAATGTTTCTTGGCTTTTAACACAAGATGAGTGAAGCAGTCTGTGGATACATTGGTTTTTCCTACAGTTACAGCATTTGTCTTACTTATGAGACACACCCACCAGAATAATGACAATGTTAATCTTGGTATATGAGGAACTACATTGAAACAACCTATAGACACATGTATTTATTTTACAATGCCAAGAAACATTATCATGTATCCTTGATAATCACTGGGGTTAGGTTCCAGAAAACTACCGTGATAAACAAAACGGTACATATTGAAACAAATAACTTAGGGGAAAAATTAGTTTCATCCCACGACCCCAAGATGCATCACCTAACTGACCAAAATATACCCCTAATAATGTGTAGGTACAGTAGAAGATATAATACTAGTAACATATCTTTACTACCTTATTTTACAGCATATAAAATGCACTTTTATGTCTGAAAAATGGCAAAAAAAATCAGCCCGTGTCCTATATGTGAAGTTGTGGTTTCCCGTAAGCTAATGAATCACCCAGTTGCTGTCTCCAGTAGGATAAATTCTACCTAACCCAACTCCAGAATAATAAATAATAAATGGTCGCAGGTTTGCCACGCCTGGTTTAGACAATTTTAAGACACTTTTCTTCTTTGACGTTTCCCTCACAAAGGGCTTAAATATACCAGGGGATTCAGGGGGGCGGACCTCCCAGTTAGGGGGTTAGGATAAGTAATTTTAGGTCATTTGCGAGGGAAATGTCATAGAAGATAAGTGTCTTAAAATTGTCTAAACCATCGGAAATACACATTGCTCAACTCGTGAGCCATATTGGTTGAAAATGTAAATTTACCAAAGTATTTGTCAGTCTATCAATCTATATACAGTACAGTACATTTATCTATATCTATCAGTATCTCTTTCATATTTTCATCTCTATGTCTGTCTATCACCAAATCTGTCTATGTCTACCTGTCTGTCTGTCTGTCTAAACTACTGTATTAATGTACCTCTAATTTAGCTGGGAATATTAAGGCAAAAATGACAAGCATGCAAGGTTTTCAGTCCCAAGAAAGTTCACATAAACCAAACTTGCATAAAACAAACAACTGCTGTACTGAATAACTATTAATCTATGGACATATTTTTATCATAAATTGTTGAGTATATTAAATGTTTTTGTTTGTTTGTTACAGATGAGTTAACAACTAAACCTTGTGAAGTTAACAACTGGAGCATGGGAACACTGCTGTTACAGGTATGTCTTTATGTTTGTCTAACTGTCTATCTTTATCTATCTGTATATCTATATCTTTCTATCAGTCTTTCAATACCTGTATGTCAGTCAGTCTGTCTGTTTGGTATCTATATCATCTGTCAGACTGTCTTTATATATACAAGTATCTGTCTTATCTATATCTATGCTATCAGTAAGAAAGATATTGACAGTGAATGAGGAAGGTGGGTACACAAGAGGTACAGTGAGTAAGGAAGGTGGGTACAGTGAGTGAAGAAGGTGGGTACACAAGAGGTACAGTGAGTGAGGAAGGTGGGTACACAAGAGGTACAGTGAGTGAGGAAGGTGGGTACACAAGAGGTACGGTGAGTGAGGAAGGTGGGTACACAAGAGGTACAGTGAATGAGGAAGGTGGGTACACAAGAGGTACAGTGGAGTGGATGGCAGACTGCAGGATATTGCTGACTGTAAGTGTTGTGTATGTGCAGGTAAATATGTCCACAGCAAGACTGAAGACACTCAACACTGAAGATTATCCCTGGACTGTGTGGATGAGTTCTGCTGCCTGGGTGACATGATCAGTGCTGGAGGGGGTGCTGAAGGCTGCTGTGTTGTGAGTCATGGATGAGTTCTGTTGCCTGGGTGACATGATCATTGCTGGAGGGGGTGCTGAAGGCTGTTGTGTTGTGAGTCATGGATGAGTTCTGTTGCCTGGGTGGAAATGATCAGTGCTGGAGAGAAAGTGGTGATGAGTTCTGCTGCCTGGGTGACATGATCAGTGCTGGAGAGGGTGCTGAAGGCTGCTGTGTTGTGAGTCATGGATGAGTTCTGCTGCCTGGGTGACATGATCAGTGCTGGATGGGGTGCTGAAGGCTGCTGTGTTGTGAGTCATGGATGAGTTCTGCTGCCTGGGTGACATGATCAGTGTTGGAGAGGGTGATGAAGGCTGCTGTGTTGTGAGTCATGGAATGGGTTCTGCTGCCTGGGTGACATGATCAGTGCTGGAAGCTGTGGTGCTGGATGAGGCTGCCTGTTGTGTTGAAGGTTGTTGTGTTGTGAGTCTGCTGCCTGGGTGACATGATCAGTGCTGGAGGGGGTGCTGAAGGCTGCTGTGTTGTGAGTCATGGATGAGTTCTGCTGCCTGGGTGACATGATCAGTGCTGGATGGGGTGCTGCTCATTTTCAAGAGTCATAAATGGCTGGAGGAAGTTGAGGGAACTGTTGTCTTTATTGTCAGCACGAGGACTTTCCCATCACATGAAAGGAAGAATGTATACAACTGGTGTGAGAAGTGTGGTGTTATATATCCGTGAAACATGGGCAGTTAAAAAGGATGACATATGCAGTCTTGAGTGAGCTGAAATGAGAATGGTGAGGTGGATGTGTACTGTGACGCTGAAAGATAAGAATCACCATTCAGAGCTAAGAGGACGGCTGGGTATTGAGAGTATCTGCCAAGATTTACGTATAAGTAGACCAAGATCGGGATTGTGGGGAGAATGGATGAGACCAGTTGGGTTAAGTGGTGCATGACTCTAATTGTGGTGAGGAGGAGAGCCAGTGGTAGGTGGCCAAGAATGACATGGGGAGAGATTGTAAGAAATGATCTTAGAATCCTGACAAGACAGACTGCAAGAGGTGGTGTGGAAAATGGCTGTATGATTTGGACGGTGATGATGATTTTGTTCTATCTTTCTGTCTAACTTTCAGGCTATCTATCTATCTATATTACTGTACTGTATTTCTCACCATATTAAAGGCAACCACAGATATAGCATGAGAGGTTTATAGTCTCAAGAAAGTTCACCTAAACTAAACTTTCATAAAAGGAACAAATATTTAAAAGAAAAAAATTGCAATGTGTTCCATAACCTGTACAGTACAGTTGACCCTCGACAACCGAGGATTTCCCATCCAGGGATTCCGGATATTTGTGGTTTTTACTCTACAAACCATTTCACACAACCACGGCATTGAATGTGGACAAGTGTGGCGTCTTTATCCCTCTGCTGTCTAATGTATTCCTCCGTAAATGTGAGGAACGAATAAAAATAATACTAAATAAGAGGAAGGAAAAAATACTGCATGCCATTTGACAACTGTTTCACTAAAGATGTGGGAGACGGGTGTGCTCCCCCGTCGTGGGCTGACTCCTGCCGACGTAATAAAAGTTTATTGTGTGTTTTTTTACCTTTTGATAATAATTTTTTGACTGAGTCTAAGAAAGCTTTTGTGTGCATGTAACTGCTAAAAAAGTGAATAAAACTACGTATATCTACCCAAAACTACGAGTTGAAAAATAACAACACAGCTTGCCCTGGTGTATATGTATACAGTTATGTATGATGTAGGGTGAATTATGGAGACATTTGTTAGGTTAAAAATATGTCTTATATGGTGAGAAATATGGTATATCTCTACATCTTTCTGTCCATCTGTCTACAGTATATCTGTCTTATATGTACTGTAGACAGGACTACTGTACTAACCATGATAGACAGTTGACAATGCATGTGATTAATACCTGGAATACAAATATTTGCAGGAAAATGTCCAATATATTCAGCAACTTGACCACTTTAGTGATATAGAACCATGAAAATATTGTTTATTGTTTTTATACCAAAACACTGGTGATTGTCTCTCAGATACATCAGGAGTTGTATATCTTTAGTGGTGCATTACTGTGTCCTGGGTTCATTTCCCAGCCTGGGACTGATGTTACCCTCAATAAAGAACATGGCAGGTTTTCTGCAGGTACAATACTAGTTTCCTCCCATACTGTACAGTTTTAACAGACCAACTGCCCAAACGGCTCATTACTGGTAATTACGACGTCAATACGTTAAATTATACAAAGGTGAATCATACCGGTAATTTAATGTTGACTCGGCCATAGTGGGCTTTAACATTTATGCCACTGATGAATGAGTCTTGATCACACACAACTATAAGGTGGCCTTCTCTTGCCACTCCATCTTCCCTCTGGCCTTAATTGTGCCAAAGCCAAGAATTATTATTGTGTGAGGATGTAGTGGATCTCTGAGGTGACAATGATAAATATTTTGGTGTTAAGTCGGTGGTGTGAGTCTTGTACTGTGCAGGTCTTACCCACCTGTTACAAACTACTGCAGGGAGTGAAGACCTTCCTTAAAAGGTTTAACTTGGCAGTATTTACAAGGTCACATCACAGACGTCCTCAACGGCACTTGATGGTTTATAACAGAGCCATTTTTTATTACTTACTTTTGACCTTGATGATGTGGTTCAGCCATTATCAGATGCAGGTCAGGAACACTAAGGACTGTTCCTCTATAATGCTCACTGAGTAAATGAGGATAGTTGCTTCAAGGCTCCACGGGGCAGATTGCTACCAGGTTTTACTTACAATTCACAATTGTTACATGGAATTATACATTTTCCACAATATATACTGAACTGTATACCTGTGTTGTCTATATACATGGTGAACTGTATACCTGTGTTGTGTATATACATGGTGAACTGTATACCTGTGTTGTCTATATTGTTTTAGCTGTGGTAAGATACCAAACTATCTCACTTGTTAACACTTGCCTGAACGAGTGTAGGTTAGTCGCTGGTACCTTTGATGCAGCTGAGTGAGATGTAGGGTCATCTCACGTCATGTCACCTTTGATACAGTCGTAGATAGTTTAAATCGTCACAGCTGTCCTGGGTTGTACTTGTAATTATCTTAGCTTGTAAGTTAAACAAGACACACAGGTAATGTTCTCTTCACTCGTTGTTCCTTGGTTTAATGTAAACACACATGCTGATTTAATAGTTATATTGGGTAGTAATGTCTGTACAATTATTTGGTATTGACAAACTAATGAGCATTAGCTATTGACTTGTAATTAGCTGATATATTTAGAGAGAGGTACTGCCCGTAGAGCTGGTCTCACGACACGACTTTAGGGCATCGTGTCGGGCTGTGAACTGGGCTGAACGCTCTTGAGTCTGGTGACTGGACAGTAATCACACTTCAACAGGTCATTAACTAAACAGCCTACCACACACTGAGGGTTGAGTCTGTAGTTTAATGGGCTGTACACCCTATGAGGTGTGACAGAACAAATGTTTATGGGCTGTACACCCTAGGAGGTGTGACAGAACACATGTTTATGGGCTGTACACCCTCGGAGGTGTGACAGAACACATGTTTATGGGCTGTACACCCTCGGAGGTGTGACAGAACACATGTTTTTGGGCTGTACACCCTCGGAGGTGTGACAGAACACATTGTTTTTGGGCTGTACACCCTAGGAGGTGTGACAGAACACATTGTTTTTGGGCTGTACACCCTAGGAGGTGTGACAGAACACATGTTTATGGGCTGTACACCCTAGGAGGTGTGACAGAACACATGTTTATGGGCTGTACACCCTAGAAGGTGTGACAGAACACATGTTTATGGGCTGTACACCCTAGGAGGTGTGACAGATCAAATGTTTATGGGCTGTACACCCTAGGAGGTGTGACAGAACACATGTTTATGGGCTGTACACCCTAGGAGGTGTGACAGAACACATGTTTATGGGCTGTACACCCTAGGAGGTGTGACAGAACACATGTTTATGGGCTGTACACCCTAGGAGGTGTGACAGAACAAATGTTTATGGGCTGTACACCCTAGGAGGTGTGACAGAACACATGTTTATGGGCTGTACACCCTAGGAGGTGTGACAGAACACATGTTTATGGGCTGTACACCCTAGGAGGTGTGACAGAACACATGTTTATGGGCTGTACACCCTAGGAGGTGTGACAGAACACATGTTTATGGGCTGTACACCCTAGGAGGTGTGACAGAACAAATGTTTATGGGCTGTACACCCTAGGAGGTGTGACAGAACACATGTTTATGGGCTGTTCACCCTAGAAGGTGTGACAGAACACATGTTTATGTGTTGTACACCCTAGAAGGTGTGACAGAACACATGTTTATGGGCTGTACACCCTAGAAGGTGTGACAGAACACATGTTTATGGGCTGTACACCCTAGGAGGTGTGACAGAACACATGTTTATGGGCTGTTCACCCTAGGAGGTGTGACAGAACACATGTTTATGTGTTGTACACCCTAGAAGGTGTGACAGAACACATGTTTATGGGCTGTACACCCTAGGAGGTGTGACAGAACACATGTTTATGGGCTGTTCACCCTAGAAGGTGTGACAGAACACATGTTTATGGGCTGTACACCCTAGAAGGTGTGACAGAACACATGTTTATGGGCTGTTCACCCTAGGAGGTGTGACAGAACACATGTTTATGTGTTGTACACCCTAGAAGGTGTGACAGAACACATGTTTATGGGCTGTTCACCCTAGGAGGTGTGACAGAACACATGTTTATGTGTTGTACACCCTAGAAGGTGTGACAGAACACA